CAAATGTTCTATTGAAGAACGTCAGTAAGTTTGTCAGGCAGGAACAACCTCTCGTGAATCCATGCTGAGATTCCTTTATCAAGTTATGCTCTTCAAGGTGACTTCTGATAATGTCAGCTATAATTGATTCTAATAACTTGCCCACTATAGATGTCAGGCTTATTGGACGGTAATTTGAAGGAGTGAAACAACAATATTGTTTCATTGTATGAAACAACAATATTGTTTTATACTATGGAACAATGCTCTTCTCCAGATTGAGGGACTGACCACCTCAAAACTTTAAGGGTGGTGGACTGATTACATCGTCTTCAAGTATCTTCTGCTTCTATCAACTTTTCTGTACTAGACTGAAGAAGCCTACTGTGTAGGCGAAACGTTTCGAAATAATGATACCTAACTGTTGCATATGTGTCTTACCTAACAACCTGTCGGTATTTTATACCATTTTAATGTTCATGTGTCCTTTTACTTTACATACAACACAGGAGTCACATGATCTCATCGTCTACCTGTCCTCATCCCAACATGGCATTCTTCAGGTCACCATGCGCCACTCACACTTCACTCTCTGCCTATATATAATGTTTTTCTACCTCTGTACATTAGAAGTGATCAAGGTCCCAGGACCAAAACGTTTTCTAATAAATATGTCATAGTGTTAGCTATATGTCTTTCTAAACCAACTTGTCGGTATTTATTACCAAGGTTTATTCCAAGGAGGATATTGCTAGCCGGATTGACAACATCATGAATGGTAATTGGATCAATCCTATTATCTACCTCAGTACTGGAGGTAATGATGTAGGCAAGTGTAGAAGTGAGGATTTAGTTAGAAGGTACGGGACAGCAATAGACATAATTAGAAAGAAGGCGGGGCACAATTAATCTTAGCTCATCTATCTTATTTCTTACAATCCTGCTATTAATATAGTAAACCTTAAGGGAGTTAGTATATCCCTGCCCTCTGCTGTCTCCCTTTGTTTGCTGACCTGATCCATTGTCTTTATTTGTAACTTTATAATGAATAATGTCTTTTAAACAATTACTGTTTTCAACCCTAGTGCTGCAAACTGTATCCTGCACACACCTACACCTCTATCTTCTATCAGTGTAAAATCCTAAACATGTCAGCAATGGCCCTCCCAATCGAGTTAGCAAATGCTGCCACCCCTACCCCAGAGAGATGCACCCCATCCCTTGCATACTTATCATGTTTGCCATAAAAGTTCTCCCAGTTGTCAATGAATGAGATTGCAAGTTCCTTGTAGTATCTGTCTAGCCAGCAATTTACACCAATTTTCCTAGACATTCATTCATTGCCCACTCCCTTCTAGGCAAGATGCTACATATGATTGGGATCCCTCCCTCAGACCTAATTAAATCTACAGCTGATCTTTGCTTACCTAGCAACTCCTACCCTTACCGATATCATTTTCACAAGCACTGAGACAGATAATTGGCTTGTTCCCATTTCCTGACATGATATTATCCAACCTGTTGACTATGTCACCAACACCAGCTCCAGGAAAACACACTCTCTGTCTCACCTTATTCCTATTACAGAAAACACAGTCCATGTATCTTATCTGTGAGTCACCAACCACAAGAATGCCTTTTCCTCTATTAACAGGGGAGGTAGTGCCTTTATCTTCACTGACCACTGAAGTACACTCGTCCTGTAAAACAGAGAAGCGATTTCCTACCTTCAAATCTTCTCTCATAATTTTCCTCATTTTGATGCTCCTCCCATTACTGGGAACCACTCGTCACTTGTAGCAGGTGCTGGACTGTCCTCACCACCTTCAGCCTCCTCACAGCGAGTGACAGACTGCTGCTCACTGCTGGTAGCCTCATTCCCCTCACCCACTCCAGCCACCTCACTCACTCCCAAACCCATCGAGGTGAACCTTCAGCCTCCTAATTTACTTCTGGAGAAGTAGGACCTCCTCCTTCAACACTCTAACCTCAGATTTTAAAATACAACCTAAATTTGAAACTACCCAAGCTTTTAGCTTCAATAACCCTACTGTGTAGACTGTTCCACTAAACAACCACTCTATTTCCAAACCGGTACTTTCCTATATCCTTTCTAAATCTAAACTTACCTAATTTGAATCCATTATTGCGGGTTCTCTTTTGGAGAGATATCCTCAAGACCTTATTTATATCCCCTTTGTTAATACCCATCTTCCACTTGTACATCTCGATCAAGTCTCCCCACATTCTTCGTCTTACAAGTGAATGTAATTTAAGGGACTTCAGTGTTTCTTCATACGGAAGATTTCTAATACTATGTATTAATTTTGTCATTCTTCGCTGAATGTTTTCTAACGTATTTATATCTGTTCTGTTATATAAAGACCAGAACTGAGCTGCGTAATCCAGGTGAGGCCTTACTGTCATCTGGCATCTTGTTCCTAGTGAACAGGATGGCAGATGCTAACATAAATTTTAGTGATCTCTCACCAGGATCAAGTGAATGGTCTAGTAATATGGTTCCAGAGCAGGATTTTTACTCGGGGAATCTATTTGGCCTGGAATGGAGACGCAGAAGTATCACGAAGTCAGTATGGGTCCGGCAGAGGGCTATTAATAGATCTGGGAGACTTGAACTTACGCTCTACCTCCACTGTTAGCAGCAAGTTGGGAAGACGAGGTGGAAGTAGACAGGTGAGGCTGAGAGGATGAAGGGTGGCCTTGATGGCTGAGGAGTATTGTTGTGTTGAAGAAAACCTGCTTGCTGAGTGGTGAAGTTCCTAGATGCTGCGCTTTCAACGAGAGGGACCGCATGAGCGTTTCTAAATGCCAACGAAGTCCACACAATGAGACATCGCCCAATTTAGGAGCAGTAGACAGATCTGGAGATGAGATGGCAAGAATACTGCAGTATAACACAATGCTCTATGCCCTCCGTCGACCCCTTCATATTTCTGCCTCGCTTGCCCAATAATTTGTAGAGAGCTTTCCTCTGGGCCAATAGCTGCCCCCAGTCAAGCCAATTATGTCCTTTACTACTAGCCAGTGAAGCTTGGGAAATGCTGAATAGAGTGGTTGGTTTTTTTATGTATGGTATCTCCACTGTCAGGGGTTGATCTATTTTATGTCAGCTGTTGGGCCAAACATGTGTTTTATATTATGTGAGTTAGCTCCTTGCTGGGAGGGATCACCGTAGAGATAGGATGCATTTCGTTTTCAGATGGAGAAATGTAAACACCAATCGGCTCGCCGTCAGAAGAGGAGTTGTTTTATATGAGGGATGGGATGTTTTTGTAGTTCCGAGAAATAGGCTAATAATGGGTCCTGGTTGCAATTCCTGCCTTGTCGCGAATGGTCGCGGAAGGATGCAAGAAAAATGTGACCTTGTGGTTGTGTAGTGGTTCAGTTGCAAGTACCTGAGGGAATAATACCCACTTGAGTTATTTTCCAAGCCAGAAAAACCTTAAGTGGTTTGGCTCAATGGTTAATTAGCGAGGGTAACTACAGAAGCTAATTTATTTCTAGTGAGGTACGGAAAGGTACTGGAGCCAGATACTAAGTTTTAAGGATGATAAGAAGGTTTTGCACCAGAGTCATTGTTATTCGGTTCCTCTGCTAGTTTTTTTATTATGCTGATCTGTGTAATTTGATATTATCTGTTATCGTATTGTAATAGAATTAAAGGGTTAGGATTAAAACAGTCTAATAACTTATGAAAATTTGTCCTAGTTCTCAGATATTTTAAACTTGGGGAGAAAGGGGGATGTGATGTAGGTCATCTCTGCTTGTGAGGTCAAAAGGTTGACCCAACCAGCCAGTGTAAATTGTCACACCCCATGCCTTGGCAAGGAAGTGTGATACTGTCATGACTCCTGGCACTGTCTCTGTCTCAGTTCTTTTGTTCTTGACGGCGACAGTAAGGTGGTGTGACACATGGAGGATAAACCCCCAAAACCTGGGGTTAAGGGGAGATGCAGGCAGGACGATATAAATTCTACGAAACAGCTAGAGAAGAGATTCTGGCGAAGCTATGGCCTGTGTGTAGAGCTCTGGCCCGAGATTTTTCGGGAAGAGCTGCTGCTTGTGTGTGGAGTTCTTAGAAATGGCCTGTGTACGGGAGTTCTGGACAGTCGAGTGTGTAGTGGGCCATGTAAGGTGGAGCTCAGGTCAGCTGGTTGGTGAATTAAGAGTGAGTACAAGTCTGTGTTTCTAGTCACATTACCACCTCCTCCTGGTAATAAGTTCCATAGGTCAATTATTATGCTATGTAATTCTCCGTATTCCCTCTCTTTATTTGATTCAGTAAACTATAACCATTGTTCCCGTTTATATTTGTACCCTCTTATTCTATTCCCTCTTTTGTTAAGCACTGGAGAAATACAGACGTGCTCACTTGCTGGAATACAGTAGGCAGAGAGGGTATAGGTCTCACAACATATCATTGTAGCGCACTGATTAGCGGTAGCTGTAAAGAGGTTTAAGCTAAACACTCACACTGCGCCACGTTGTCACTTTATCCTGACATTAACACCCACTGTGAGGTTGAATTCGTCCTTTTTAGCTTACAGTAAGAATGAGGGATAAAATGTTGTTGCTGGTATGATTAAGTTTTTGATTGTTGTGAGTTAGACTGTTTTTATCATCTTGGTGAAAATGATACATCTTATCGAAGTTCTTATCTTCGGTGTGATATCAAAGCTCATTTTAAAAGTAATTATGTAAATAAACCAAAGCATATAATATTGTTTGAGAGTAATACTCACCTTGTTTGAGAGTAATACTCACCTTGTTTGAGAGTAATACTCACCTTGTTTGAGAGTAATACTCACCTTGTTTGAGAGTAATACTCACCTAGTTTAAAGTAATACTCACCTGTTTGAGAGTAATACTACTGAGTTTAAGAGTAATACCAAAGAGTAATATCACCTATATCCATTTTAAATGTCAATATTCACCTAGTTTAAGAGTAATACTCACTTAGTTTAAGAGTAATACTCACCTAGTTTAAGAGTAATACTCACCTTCCCCTGTGAAAGCATTTGGTCCTCCCATTATTAGACTGTTGCCCTGAAATGAACCAGAATAGGATGAGTTATTTTCGACACCTGTCACTGAGAATCACACCTGTCATTGAGAATCTCACATGCCATTGAGAATCTCACATGTCACTGAGAATCACACCTGTCATTGAGAATCTCACATGTCACTGAGAATCTCACATGTCACTGAGAACCACACCTGTCACTGAGAATCACACCTGTGAAAGACCTCTCATTGCTTGTACTTTCCGGTACTTGTTAATTTAATCTGGCTTCAACATACACTTGTGCCGTCATAAACATGTACTACACTTGTAGTATCCTGAAAAAACTTGTCATGAACAATTATACTTGTCACTAACACTTGTTATAAATAAGCACATTTGTCATGGAACACCTGTAATTTCTTAAAGGAATACCTGTCACCTATCACTGAACACCTGTCACTTCTCATGGAAAACCTGTCACCTCTCATGGAGCAACATTTACATGTCATGGAAGACCTGCCACCTGTCATGGAACAACCGTTACATGTCATGGAACACCTATCCCTGTCATGGAATACCTGTCATGAAACGCCCGTCATGGAATACCTGTCATGGGACACCTGTTATGGGGAATTAAGGAAGTGTGTGTGGGGTCACGGCTGAGTCGGGTTAGTGGTCACTTGTTTCAGTCGTGAATTCGGTCTGAAGCCTGCCACGACACTCAGGGTAACTTCAATCAATGGGGTACTAACCTTTATTCCTCACAGTAGGCAGTGTATGTAAGCAGCTGTGGTAGTAATCTCTGGTAGTGGGTGGCCAATCACCGCACGAGTATGCAGAGTACTGATGTATGTTCAAGGTCTCGAATACTTACGCAGAGGTAGAAGGCCGGGAATCTCCTCAAAATACCTGGCGAGTCAGTTACAGCTGCCTGCTCCTGTTGCTGAGTGTAATGGGGCTATGGGACCCAAAATGTATTTATGTATCTGTAACAGTTACTCTGGAATACCTAATTATATTGAATTGATGGGGACTCAGCTCTAAATGTCATAAGGGCAGATCATTCTTATGGCTGTAAGGCAGCTGAGTCAAGCCTGTTTTTCTCAATATAATAGGTTATACTATAGACACACAAACACACAATTTAAATAAGTAGTTTATAAAGTTGTAATTCTTTTTGTAAAAATAAAATTAAGGAGTGGTATAATTGTGGTAACTGGAGAATTGTGCTTGGCAACAGTCTTTTGTTTTTGGTGGGTGTGGGAGGAGCTTAGCTAGGCTCCTCCCTCTCCCTCTCTTTCTCTCTCTGTTGCTGGACTTCAACCTGGCAGGACCTCTGGGTCTTCTATTTTTTTGGGCATTATGTGTACTCCAGGGGTGAGTTTTTATAACTTTAGTTGTGGCCACCATACCCAGGGTGACTAAAGTATGTCAAAACACTGGTTAGTCAAGAAGAGAGAAGGACAAAGTTGCTGAGATGCACCATGTGGGAGAACAGCTAAGGAGTGTGTAGATTTTTGTTTTGAATATGTGAGTGCTGTAATTGTATATTCTGTACATATCTATTTAGAATACAGTTATATTTTTATAGTAGTAGTTTAAATAACCTGTGAAGAGGGCTGGTGAAAGGATATCAGAGACACTCAAGATGATCAGCCATGATGTAAGTATTACCCCTAGACAGATAAGGCCATTAAGTAAAAAGCTACCCCACACTAGAACATATAGTGAGAACCTTACTATCAAAGTAATAAGACATAACAACATAACACCGAGGATACCTGCACATGGTTGGTATGTAAGTTACATAACTGGTAATTTACCGCTCACGGCCGAGGATTTGAGTATCTCGGTCACTAAATTTTTTGGGACTGACCCCTCAGCTCTCCCCGCCGACACTCAAACTGGCGGGCCGAGGGTGCCTATGGCTTAATTAATGTATGGGACGTACAGTACTACAGTGAGCTTAGCTTCAATATGTGTAGTAGTAATGTAGTAATTGCAGTGTATAATTAGCCTAGGAGTTACGAGGCTAATTTTTAGTAATTATGAATATAAAGAATTGACACCTCTCTAGGCGTCGTTCTCCCTTCCCTGCATTCCACCACCTGGGGGGTGGGCATAACGGCTCTGGAAAATACCGATATTTTTCCACAGCTGTTATGGAACTCCTGTCAGGGAATATTCATCATGGAACATCTGTCATTTTTCTCGGAACACCTGTCATGTAACGTCTGTCATGGAATATCTGTCATGGAACACCTGTCATCTGTCTCGGAACACCTGTCATGGAACACCTATCATGGAACACTTGTCGTGGAACACCTGTCATGGAACACCTGTCACAAAACACCTGTCATGGAACACCAGTCATGCAACACCTCATGAAACACCCATTATGGGACAGCCCATCATGGGACACCTGTCACTTGCCAGGGACTCACCAGGTCACTGAGTGCAGCACTGAAGCCAAGCATCGCGTCCTGAACGGAATCAACCTTGGGTACTCTACCTGATGATACAGACACAAGTAGGTGAGGACACTGAGGATAAAAATACTGTAGCCACAGTGATTAAGAACTAAGATTACTTTAGCTACAGTGATTAATAACTAAGAATACTGTAGCCACAGTGATTAAGAACTAAGAATACTGCAGCTAAAGTGATTAATAACTACGAATAATATAGCCATAGTGATTAATGACTAAGGATACCGTAGCTGCAGTGATTAACAACTAAGAATACTGTAGCTACAGTGATGAATGGCTAAAAATATTGCAGTATAGCAATTAATAACTAAGAATACTGTAGCTACAGTGATTAAGAACAAAAAATACTGTAGACACAGTGATTAATAATCAAGATTAATAACTAAGTGATTAATAACTGAGAATAATGTAGCCACAGTGATTAATGACTAAAAATACTGTGTATACCCTGTTGGGATTTATGTTTCCGCTTCAGGCCTCCCCTTTGTATTTTGCGTCACAACAATCCTGTCATCTCGTGGCTTTAGGCCTACTTGCAGCTCGCCCCACACTATCCTTTTCTGCTTCACTTATACACCCAGCAACCTAGATACAACAAGACTACTCTCTCTCTCCCACCTGGCCGGGCTGTCAGTATAGCTACTGAATCCCCTTATGTGTATACTTGTGTAATATAGTGTGGATCGTATCATCCATGTATATATTTAGGCTCCCTGGTCAGTAGGCTCAATGACTAGCATGTGTGACGTCACGTGACGCTGTTGTGAGCCTTTCGAGCCTGGGATCCTTCTCAGTTCCCATTAGACCTACCAACAGCTACAGGCAGGCTGGGCCTCCCTCTTCACACTCTGCCAATATATGTGTTACCATCCAACAAATGTGTTTATCTCCAACCATCATATCTCCTACGAACCCCCACTACAAATGGTGCCAGCAGAGGGCATGTAATTCTGACGATTACAGCGATTTCTGAAGATAAATTTCTACTGAGCCGGTCGCCATTTCCCTGCTTAGCTAAGCCTGCTGATGCTTAACATCCCAAGCCAGCTACCCTGAGCAAGCTTTCATCAGCCTATTACTTCCTACATACTGGTCATTCTCTGTGTATTAGTTTTATTTGCTTATTTGCATTACTTCCGAGGGGTTGACATGAGTTTGCAAAGTAAGCCAAGCCACCAAGCCAGTCTGTGGGGGCAGTCCAGTCAGTCCTACACTATCCAGCCTTGCCTGCCAAGCCAGCTTTCTACCCCTGCTGTGCTCATCATTACAAGTTATCAAACCAGCCTGTGTGAAGGGTTAAGCCAAGCCAGTCAGCAACTAACCCAGGTGACTTAACCCAGTACTCAAGCAAGCCACGTGGGTACAGTCTCCTCCATCGCTTTGTGCTTCCAGTTCTAGCTGTTCTGAGTGTTTTACCATCCCTGTGGTGTTGTGGTATTTTGTGGGTTTTTAAGCCAGCCTGGCTTAGAATATTTTCGTGCCTAGTGCAAGTGTCCCCAGAGTGGCTTACGCCGCTCATTCCATAGGCCCATGCAGTGTCTCAGCGCGGCTGCCTCAAGCACTCACCCAACTTCCCACTACCACTGTATTTTTTTTTTTACCCTTATCACAGGTTCTAGCACCATATTTTACAGACCACATAGGGGGTCAAGAGACAAGAGTGTTCCTTCGACCCTTTGTGCCTACCTAAAAGCCTCCTGTGTAAGTCCATCGTCGATTTAAGCGCAAATTCATTGAGGCGTCAACGTGTTGAGGGTAGCGAACGCCGCCAGCCACGAGACTGCAACTTCTACCTTTCTTCACCACCATCACTACTCTTTCTCCACCAACGTCGTTACAGTGATCATATTTTTATAGAGACATTTGCGAGTGTTGAGACAATTTTGAAGTGATTCCTGAGTGACATTTCTTTTCAGTGACTCTTGATCAGTGTTCATTATATCCTGTTTGCAATATTTTTTTTTCTTTCTTCAGTGTTAATTTTCGTGCTTTATTTTATGTCTGTTGTGTTGTGTTCATTTTTTTTATATACTTGAAGTAAATATTTTTCCAATTTTCCCTGTTGAGTGCAATATATAAGCAGTATAAACTTGTGTTTACACTTCACAATTATCTTGTGTTCACAGTATTGTGTTCCTTGTCTAGTAATTTATGCAGTGAAGCAATTCAGTAACTTGTTACCTTATATTCTGCATTACAACTCAGTGTTGTCTCAGTTATTTTTTTTTCTCCCAGCATTTGTGTACTGATTTTTTTTATTCATTCATTTGCCATTTTATTTTCTGTGTGCTGAACATTCTTGTGTTAATTCTTTTCATTTAGCCAGTGTCTAATTTGTCTTATCTCCACAGACAATAGTGCCATTATTTTGTTGAAGCAAGGCAATTATTTCTCAATTTTTGTCACCCCAAGCTTCATTGCAAGACAATTCTCATAATATTGTGCATATATTGATGTGTTGTGTTCCTGCCTTATTGTGAGTGTTAACCTTTCTCTGTTTTGTATTTTTGCCTCTATTATTTTTCATATTTCATTGAACAAATTCACTCTTAGTGCAATTTTTTTTTTTTTTTTTCAAAGTAAAACATTCTTTTGCTTGTTCAGTGTTGCTTAAGCTGCAGTTATGAGTTAAAGTGTTCAATCAGTGCATTCCTTGATAATTTTTTTTATTGTTTTTGTAAACTGTATTTTCTTGTGTGTGTAATTTTTTTATTATTGCAATATTGACTCATTTTGCAATAATTCTTGTGTAAATATTGTGCTGCCATTAATTATTTTCTTTCAGAAATTTTTACGTAGTGTTGTGTTGTGCAGGACTTTTGATTAGAAATTGTTATTTGCAATATTGCTACAGTTTATTACAGTGCAATATTCTGTGATTTCAGTTTTACATTCCTTGTTCTGTGCATAATATTTTATTCTTGTGTGTCATTTTGTTTTGTTTTTTTACATAGAATTGCTTTCCCAGTTTGTTTTATTTTTGCACAAAAATTTATTGATTCCATTTTATTATTTTTGCTTGATTTATCATTTTTTGTTGAATTTCTTTATTGAATTGAGAGTAAAGACAACTCACTGTGCCATTAATTCACTTTAAAGTAAATTTGAGTAAATTTGATTTGAGTAAAGTACAATTTCTCTTGATTTTCAAAGTGTTGTTTATCCAGTTGAGTAATTTTTTATTTTCATGTGAGTTTTCCTTGCTTACAGTGTGACTTGTCAATTTTTCTTTACTTATGCAGAATAGTTAAGTATATTCTTCCCATTTAAGTATACTGTGTTGTGTGTTCCTCAGTTATAATTTTTTTTGTTTCTTTAAACTCTTGTTTCACATTTTGCAAGCATGTCTCAAGTCTTCTCAAGCGATGCCTCAGCACATTCTGCTAGTCCAAGCAATAATGCGTCAGTCCAAAATTCGAGTAATTCCTTATCAAACGATAGACACACTCAGACTTCGAGCCTTCGCAATTTTAGTTGTGACCCTTATGATGCTATGCCATTGTTCAATGGGAATCCAGACAACCTGGAAGCATGGTTTACCGCTGTTCGTGCTAGGGCAAATGCCTCAGTAGATGTCCTTCCATCAGAGAGTTGTATAATTAATATCGGAAAGGAAAATTTAGCTAGTTCACCAGTCACCTCGAATGTCTTTAATTTAATCTGGATGAAGGACTTTCAGGGTCTAACCTACTGGCAAGATTATGAGCAATTAGTACATAACTATCTTGACCCAGTGAGAGTGACTGATCCTTTTGTTGTCCTTAAGGAATTAGTGTACAGCTCCGAGGCCAGAGGAATCATTAGATGAGTTTGCTCTTCGTTTAAATAACCTAATGTCCTCATTAGTTAAGGCCGGTCAAAGTTTCAAGTACCTTGCAGACAATGATAAACCAGCTCTTGAGGGGTTTGCCAAATTAGCAGCATTTGGCGTTATTAGTTAATGCCACCAACTTCAATGTATGTGTATAGTTCCAGTCCTCTAACTGCCGTATTGGGACCGCTTGCAGCCCTTGTCCATGTGCGTGACTTGTGTCCCACGGGAACCTTCCCCTATCGAAGGCCTACATCAGCCACTTCGACTAATCCCGTTCCTCCTCTTGTTTGTGCTACAACCAAAACTCCCGATCGAAATCACTCGCGATCGTCATCCAAAGCTAGTGTCAAGAGTTATCATTCCTGTAGCACTTGTAGTATGTACAGTACACATAGCCAAAGAACCTACTATAATTGTGGTTACCATGGCCATATCGAGGTAGATTGTCCTGATAGCCGCTCTAAGAGGTATCGAAATGCTGACGGGTACCAGTCCGATTTGCCTTATTGTACTTAACACAGAATTCATGGCCATGAGTGCAATGCTCTCTACAACATGCAGTACTCTAGATCCTTCCATGGCCATTCCAACCGCAGAGCCAGGAGAGGAAATAGAGGATGGGGTTCCTCAGAATAACCAGAATCAACCTCATTTTTCCAATGGGGGGGGAATTCGAGCGCCCCAGTCAACCCATCCCATGGTGACAGTAGATGATAATGAGTACACCATCCCCGTTCACAATTCCTTTGCAGCCTTAAGCAGTCTTGAGAATGACAATCCTGTAAATGATGTTGCTTCACACGTCTCTGACGTAGATGAATTTGGGGATGAAGTGGAACATGCCTTCTCCGATGACAACCCACCTTTTTGTTTGCACATAACTCCCAATGAAACGATAGGTCCTCTAGTGCAAGCATCTATTCATAATGCACCCGTTCATGTGTTCATGGACTCTGGTGCGCAAGTTAATATCATCATGTCTAGTTTGTTTAAAAATAAACAGTTACGACGTGTGCTCCTAGTAGAACCAACTACTGTAACCTCCCTAAGTGGAGTAGCTGGTTCCCTTCTGCGTGTCCGAGGCCAGACTTCCCTCACCTTTTCTATCCAAGGTAGAGACTTTACTGCTTCTTTCCTTGTTGTTGACCAGATTACTTTCCCTGTTGACCTTCGAATGGGATTTGCTTCCATGAAAGACTTACGTATTGT